TCTTTCTTTCAGAGTTAAATGGGTATTAATTTGCTTTTACTGGACATGACTTGAATGAATAAAGTGAAGTTCAAACACAAAATACAGATCACTAAACAAGTATGTATCATACTTGCAAAGAGGTCATCTTTAATAATATCTTACACTTACCATAAAAGAATTTTCTAAATGGTTAAGCAGTCTAATCCTCATAAAGGTAATCCTTATAGTGTTAGGGGGATAGTTTAGTTAGCTAACTAAACTTTTTTATTTTTTTTAAACTCTTACTTGGCCCTCTTCTTTGGCTCCTTTTCTGTGGAAAACATTCCACACAGTCACTGAAAAAAACTGGCAGAGTAAAGAGGGCAGTTATGAGATCTTGTGTGTCACAGATTTGTAAATACAAGAATCTTCTGATCTAGGGAAAGTAAACTACTAATGTTGCAAATAACTCATTCCTGTCTGAGATCCACACTGGATCAAATACTAAAGAACAAAAAGTAAATTTATCAAGCTTCTCTTTTCCATTCACTTATTTCATATGTAACTCAATGTAGGAAATTTCTTGTTTTCAAGTACTTCACAGAGCACTTCTTAAGTAGAAGACCATATTTCTTCATAGACTTTTATTAGTAATAAATTTAATTAAGGTGAAAAACAATCACATTTGTTTAATTTAACATTTAATTTAAAACCTGAGGGTTTTTTCCTGCTTTCAAGCTGGTTTTAATCATCTGTATTTGAGTAATTGAAAGTTCTTCCAGATCATGCCTATGTAACAGTTCTGTTTTTTTTTTTTTTAACTGTAGATTATAGAGGACTACAATTTGTTATAGTAAAAGCTGAAATATGATTTTTTCTGTTTGAGAAGTGTACTCTTTCTGATATAGCTCATGAAGAAACAGAATTAGCCTAGCAATCCTTCATCTACAAAAACATTGTTGTGCAAATAAGGTGCACACACAAGTCATGATTCGGTGTCATTAAATGTGGAATCTGCAATATTTTTTAACCCTTAATAGTTAACTAGGCACAGGTATTCCAAAAGCAGTTAGCACATTTTTTGAGTCAGGTATCAAAGGACATCAATGAACTCTTATGTACTCTAAGTCTGAAGATGGTTGTGAAGACCATGATTCCTCTGTTCTGTTAGGCTTGCTTGGTTTTTATCCATTTGTCAGAGTGTGAGCCCTTTCTCTCACTTTTTTGGAAGGCCTTAAGATACAGACCTAGATCTCAGGTTGCAGCTGTTGTGCATAAACAGCTCATTTGGTTTCAGGATTTTCCGCTGATTCATGTCTAACCTACCTGCCATGCTGAAGGTCACTAAAAATCATACCTTTTGTATGTCATAAGGAGGGCAGAAAAACTTGGCAGAGAAGCAGTTTGTCAGTTCTATTACGTGGGGAATATTTCTTTTTGGCTGAGACCCAGGCTATAGTGGGTTTCTACTGCATAAGCTTCACCCATGTAGGTTAGAATCCAGTAAAAAACCACTACCCTGCCAACCTCCTGCCCCAGCTCCAAGCCTCCAAAACTCAAACTCTCCCTACATTACTGATTAACCAGGGCAAGCAAGCGTGTGACAAAAATCACAGCATATATCTACTACAGTTTATTACATGCCTTTGACATCTTTGGGTGTGGTTGGGAACAGAGAAGAAAAAGACCACCTCTTACTCTGAGGAGGCCTGTGGAGAAATAATAGACTCTTTCTCTGGTAATAGAGAGGACTCTTTTTCTACCTTCTTTATACTGAGTCTAGCTCCATCAGAGCCCTTTCACAGTGAGCTTAGAGTACTTGCATGTAATTTGTTAGACAGTATTTAGCAAGTAATTTAGCAAGACTCAAAAGTGATTATACAGAAACTTATGTAAAAAACAGAGGCAAACACAACAGGAGGTAAAGGAATGCCAGAACAGTTTGAAAAGAAATGTGTAGTATTCAACTCAGTTTGAGATAAAAATCAAACACAGATTGGTACTTTCTCTCTATTTGAGATATATTGTGACTGAAACCATGTCTCTGATTAAGCTGTTACATCTGAGTGCTAAAAGCTTTCTTGTTACTTGACAGTCTCAACTGAAAACCAGACTTGTGGTCACAGACACCTGTCACCTGACATCTTAATCACCTAAGTCAATCTCATTCTATTTCAATTTGATGAAAAATTTCTGTAGCTTCTGTAGTTGTAGTAATTTTTTTCTTTTGTAGTTGTAGAAATACAAATTACAGTATCATGAGCAGTATTTTAGTTGAGTTTATCTGTATCCAAGCAAGTCATTGTAAATACTGAGCAGGATTGTGAAACCAAAAACACCCTACAACCCATGGTTCATAAACTGTAGCAAGATATACTTGTGACATACAACATGATTCTTAAAAAGTTTATACAAGCTGACTTGAACAGTACTAATCTCATTTTTCAGTAAGATTATTTTCTTGTATTATGTGTGTTTCAGTGAATGGAAATGGTGTAGCAGGTTTCTATCTGAAATTCAAGAACCATTGCTTCTCCTGAAGTTCTACCTCTTCTTCCTTCCAGACTGCCAATCTCTGTTTAGATAAAATAAAGAATCCTAAGAATTTAATTAGGTACCTTTCCTCCCTGGTCCCCAAACAGTGTCTTGCTGAAACCTGCAGTACTTCCTGTACCACAAACCATAGTTCCAAAAGTGTGATTTAAGGAAGAGAAAGTGGTATGGATAAAGGACAGCAAGACATAAAGCTTAGCAAGCCTAATGAACAAGACCAACAGCTATCAATTCCTAATGTCTCTCAGAGGAAAGGTTAAGTGACCAACCAAGAGGAGGGCCCAACCTGCAAATTCAAGTATATACTTTATATCTTTTCCTGAGTTCTGTGCTGTTTATTTCTCTTGCAGTAAAATCAACGATTGCACCCAGTGAGATGAGTGCAATATTGAATCACTAAACCAATGTATTTTTGAGTATATGGTTCTATCTGTCTTTATTCAGTACAAGCATTTAAGCCTACATTTAACTTTAATCTTCCTATACAAGGTGGATTGTGGAGTCTCATACTATGTGAATAAGGGGTTTATCTTGTAGCATCTGAAAATCAAATAGTCACTCAACTTCTAGCCAGTGATTATTTTATATTGTGTGCATTTAAAAGAAGTACATTCTGATTTTGATTTATTTCCACTGAAACAATACTCACCAGTCAGCTATGAAGAATATTATCAGAATTTGAATTACTTCTAAAACTGCAATGACTTTTTTAATGCTTCCACTGGAGTTGGCTGTCTTGTCATCCTACAGATTTCCAGCTCAATGGCTTCTAGAATTTGACAAAAAGCCATGTTGCTCTGCATTTGGCATAAAGTCCATTTGATTCCTGCTCATGAGTCTTATCAGTTCTGTGCCCAAATTTATATCTAATTAATCAGTTAATGCTGTTTTTGAACTTCTGGTTGCTTCTTGATGGGCTGCTTTTGCTAAAGTCTCACAGCAATTTCAATTTTCCTTCATTGGTGCAAGGACTCGAGTTTTAGAAGTAAAGCTGATTAAAAAAAAAGTTTGCATTTCTGAGCCAGATTAATGTGTTGTACTTATTGTATAGTTTATTTTAAAAACTGTTGTCTAGACTCCAACTACTGCCAAGTACTGCTTCTAGAATATTAAGCTTTGTATGACGCTTACTCAGCATGTCATTCCAACTTTTTGATGTTTTGCTGTCTCCTTGTCAAATATCAGCTTGCCTTAAAAGGACTTTAATGCCTTGAAGATAATGAACAATTTGGCAGCAAAAATATTTTCTGGCTGATTTGGAGCCCCTGCGTAAACTACTTGGCGTCTGATGTCATTGAAACCTATTATACTGGCTATTTTAAAATTAGGATTTATTTCTGTTTGAATTTTGAATTCTATCCTTGGGAGAGACATTTAAATGTAAACGTATATTTTCCCCTTTAACAGTAGCTTATGGGCTATAATGGTAGAGCATTTTTGCATTTTTATGTTTAGTTTTATTGTAAAGAGCCTTGGGATGTATTTGCATGAAAGGCACTATATAAGCTAATTTTGTATTGCATTGTATGGTATTGTGACAAGTGCAATAATCTCCAGGTTCCCTATCCATTAAAGAACTAATTTCACAGCTCACTAATTATGTGAATGAGAAGGGGAAATAGGTCCTTTTTCTCTAAGGTATGCTGAGCAGATGGCATAGCATTCATTTCCACCAGCTGAATCTAAGGTCCTCTCTTGCTTTTGGTTCCAAGACTTGCCTCGGCTTATCAAATAGAACAGGAGAGAGATGTCAGTTTCTTGTACAGCATGACAGTGTATACTGAGAGGCTGTCTTTGTCCTTTGCTAATACAACATTAGTTAGCACATACCAGGTCTAAACAGCCTATTTATTTAGGGTGGGACATGAAAACCATTAAAATGAATGTGCATTTTAATGCAATTCTAATTTGTCTCTGATTTATAGAAGATACTGGTTAGATCTGTCCTTTGGATTTAAACTGATACCCATAAAAAGTTATTAATGACTCAGTTGAGTACCTTTGGGGCTGTATCTAGCCTGTAATTTCAAAACAGAAAAGCATTATTTCCTTAGCCTGTGCACTTTCCTTCATAGGTAAGGTTTTGCTACCTTGCTGATCTTTCCTTTTTTTCTTTCACCTTACTCATGGAAATAACTGACTTGAATCAAACATGCATACAGTGATTTATATAGCACCCTAATGCACTGCTTTTTTTAAAGTAAAACGAGTCATCAGAGATACCAGCGTTCTCCTGTGATCCTGAAAAGTTGGTATTTGGGCCCTTATTTCAGCATTAAAAAGAGAAAAGCTGAGAGTGAACGTCCTGACACATCTTACGTAGGACTTGGCAATAAGGCTGCATTTTACAGTGCTACACAAGCAATCAGATAATTTTCTTGCTTTAACATAATAAGTAGTATTAATTTTTTCTTTCCTTCTCTCACTGCTGGGCTGTCACATGTTTTTGTTTTGTGTTCATGGTTCTGGTTTCATTCTAATTTCAGACGGATGCAGCACTAATGTATGATGCAGTTCATGTGGTGTCAGTGGCTGTCCAGCAGTTCCCACAGATGACAGTCAGTTCACTACAGTGTAATCGCCACAAACCATGGCGCTTTGGGACCCGCTTTATGAGTCTCATTAAGGAGGTAAGTCACTAATAAAGTATCCTGCTTCATTACTTTCCTTTCTCCCAACTCCCATTTTCTTTTGTTCCCACTCTACTTGAATTCTGCTTTTCTGTTTTCAATAGCTGGGAATCTCAACTTGTTATGTGTAAAGACTTTAGCAGGCAAGACAGCATTTTTATTCAAAAGTGGGTTTTCCTGAGGTATTAGTTGGAACAAAGCAGCATAGAAGGGTGAAATAACTGCATTCTAAATAAAACTTTTGTTTGTAGATAATTTGGGGGGGGGGAGGCAGGGGTTGAAATATTTGTCACTTAAAAACCCAAACACCTGAAACCCCAAACCATAGACTGACTATGAAAAATTCAGCAACTAAATATTGGCATAAGTTCAAAGGAGCGAAGAAAGAAATTTACTCCCTGGTTTTAATTGTCTTTTTTTCTTTTTTTTCTATTGTGATTTAGTATATGTGGCCTTGGTCTCTTAGTGTGCTGTTTAGATACTGATAGATAGTGATTTAAAGTAAAGTTAAGAGATTTAAGGTGCTAAAGGTGAACAGTGTAGAGTATTCAAGTCTCTTGTACTGTAAGTAACTCTCAATACAGTATTTCTCATTCTAGATATATAAAATACTATGATAAAGAGAACTGTTTGCAATGGAATATAATCCTGTTTTTAGTGTTGGTTCCTTTTAGGATGATAATTTTGTTTTCCATATTCCCTCCTCTACTTTAGTATAGTTTTAGAACTAGGCAGATTTTAAGTTATAACAAAATGAGGATATTACACTTTATTAAAAGTAAGGAATCAGCTCTAGAAGACTGGCTCAGTGACCTCAGTTTTTGCTGTCTCAGTGTGGTTTCAGCGGACTCAGCATCTTACAAAAGTAAGCCTTTATTTGAATGAAATTTCCTGACAGAAAAATGAAATCCAGCATTAATGAAAGAGATTGAGCCTTGGGGGAGGGAGGGGCATGTAGGGAAGCAGAAGGGGAAATGCGTGCATGAATGATGGAGGAATGAAAATAAAACAGCCTTTTATCTCATTTAGTAAGAAGAGTCTATTAACTAACATGGAAAGTTGTTTAAAAAATTGTCTGTAAGACTGAAGAAAGCTTGATTTAATTAGCAAAAAGTGAATACAAAATATTTTTTAAAAAAATCAGCCACAAGGTAAATTATTTAGATAGAATGAATAATTAATGTTCCCATTCTGGCAGACATAAAATTTGTTCTTTTTGGGCAAAAAAAGGAAGAGGTATTTATTTATAGAAATTGTTTTTTCTTTCTCCATAGGCCCACTGGGAAGGCCTCACAGGCAGGATAACTTTCAACAAAACCAATGGCTTAAGGACAGATTTTGATTTAGATGTTATCAGCCTCAAGGAAGAAGGTCTTGAAAAGGTGTGTAATACGTTTATCTCCAAAGAGATGGGAAACAAAAAAAAAAAAAAAACCCCACCCCCTAAAACCAGTAGCATTTTTAATAACATTTCATGTGTTACATAAAACAACGTACCTGTTCTCTACTTGATATCTGGTTTCAAAGTCTTCTAGTAAAAGCTGTTATCTTGGTGTCTGACAGTTAGTGGCCTCTTAACTGTGTGCTTCTAGCCACATTCTTAGATTCAAGAGGACTGGAGAAGAGTGAACAGCTAGACCTGGAGTCATGCATTAATATACTCTGTCTTCAATCTATATTGAGTTTAGTTTTAGTGATTCCAATCCCATTACCTATCCTCATGTGTGAATCTGTGGGTATGTGTATTTGTATTTTCTTTACATCTTACTAGTTCAAGAAGAAGTACCTCAAACAGAATTAAATAAAACAGCTTCATTTTGGCAATTTTCTGTGTTTTAAGTGGGAACTTTGATTCTCTTCTTGGAATACAAAGTTTTTATCTGTAAGTGGTACTAAAAAAAATTAACAATAGGTAGCCTGACAGGTTTCTCTGTCTTCTGACATGAATTTTTCTTGTAGAGATGGAGTGAAAGACAAAAAGATTGAGAAATGCCCTTTCTGTGTAGCCTAATATTGTCTATATTTGAATTAAAGGCCTTGGGAAGCACGTACACATATGTGGCCTGCCTACATGACATGATGATCTGAAATCAGATCATTTTCCCTCTCTTCTCCAACCACCCTGCCATGAAGAGGCAATGCAGGATGCTGCAGTGTCTCACACTGTTGTGATCAGCAGACAAAGGTTTTATAATTTGCATCTGCCTTGTTTGTATTTAGCTGTGGTGTTCAGTGTTCTGTACGCACCATGTTTTCCTTCATCTTCAGATAAATTTTTATCAGCTATTGCCCCAAGGTGATATTGTGGCCAGAAATAAAAGGAGAAATTAAGGGAAGGCACCATGCTGCAGGGTTGCACTTCCTTTCTTCTATAGATCATTAAATGGAGAAGCTAGCATAAACAACATATTTCTTTTAAACTTTTCCCCCCAATACTAGTTTTGGAATATTAATTTTCTCATACTAGGAAGATTTTTAAAAAGTTCAGAAGCCACAAGCTTGCTTTGAAACACTTACATAGGTAATAACATTTTTGAAAATGTCTGGTGGCAAGCCTGTGATTAAAGGACTAATCTATATTCTCACTGATAGTAAAGAGTCTTCGTATGAAAAAAAAAAAAATATATATATAGTTGTGATTAGATTTGAAAAGCAAATTAGCTTTGTGTATGAGTAGAATAGGTGCAATGCAACCTGTCTTCCTTACTGGAAACAGAAATGGAAGAACTGATGACATGGGAATAGCTAAATAAGTCAGTTGTGACTGGAGAGTCACTGAAGTGATAACTGTTGAAAATGAGGAAAGGAAGTCTTTCTAATTTAGGATGGCTTTAAGAACATTGGGTGGCATTTGAGAACCATCAAACAACATAGGTTTTCTGGAAAAGAAAATCTTTACAGTGTACTTAATTTCTTTTCAGGCAGAAATGCAAAATAATTAAGGAAATACAGACAGTGTAATGTATTTGTCTTTTAATGACGTGATACTACTATACAATGCTATTAAAAAAAGAGTTGGCTGTATTACAAAATTTACTGTGTGGACTGGAAGTTTTCTGAGAGAACATTGGTGTAAAATATTGCATAATAGATGTGCAGTGGGCTAAAGGAATGGTATCTTCCATCTGGATCTGTGTTATGTCTGTTTTTATTTCACCATCAGTATTGATATGAAAGTAGAAACACAAAAGCATGTTAATTTAGTTCTTAGTTGACAATATATTATGAGATATGTGCTCCACTGAAAATATAGAAGTAAAAAGGTCTACAGAGATCAGAAATATTGGAAGAAAATAAAATTCAACAGGAAATACAGTACTCTAAAACACATAATAGAAAAAGGGAACTTGGGAAACAGTAATAGTGAAAGATACGGAAGAGACAACAGAAATATTTGTAAAAAGATATGGATATTTAAAAACAACCAGCATATGCTTGAGCTCTGTATACAGAAGTTCACAGCAAAGGAAGACAGTTTTACTGTCTTCATGGCTCATTTTGGCCATGTGATAAAAGATTGTGATAATATTAGTTTTTCACCAAAATGTGCTGACAGTCTCTGGGAAGAGCAGTAACAATTAGTTACCATGTATTAGAAAAGTTTAGGAGTTAGGAAAGCGTTAGCAAAGAATGATGAGGAATGCTACAGGTTCAAAGATACCTATGAGCAAAAGTAGAGCAGTTTCTGTAGGGTGTAGTGATATGAGATTAGGAAAAGGAAAATTAAAGTGTATGCACATTAGATTGAATTGCTTAGTAAATATTTAGAACATATAGGTTATTTTACTGAGAAAGAGAAATCAATGTTGACAAATAAATGTTTTTCTTTGAAGAAAATTTAGTTATTCGGAAAGAATGCAAACTGTACTTTTCTTGAATCCAGGGTGAATCATTAACCTCTAGAGCAGGACAGTTCCTAGTAGATAGAGTACGCTTTACCCAGTCCTTTTATTTAAAAGAGCTGTCCCAAAGGTTTTTTTTCCACAAGATTTTCTTCTGTTAGAGCTATGATGAATCCCTCTCCCTTCTCTCTTTCCCCTGCCTCCGTCCCTTCATATGTGCACTCCATCTCTCTGCATTGCACTTTCTCTCCTGCTTTCTGCTACTCTCTCCTTCTCTCCCTTCCCCCTTTCTCCCCTCTTCCTTTCCTCTCTCTCTCCCCCTCCCCCCCCCGTCCATTCCCCTTTCCATCTAATCCTTGTCTGCTTGCCGCTCTTCATCTCTTTGCTCTTTCCATCCTCTTTCTCTCTATTTTCTTCTTTCTTCAGGAGCCTTTCCCCATCTTTCTCATCTTGTATATTACAAATGTTCTTCCCAAACCACCATCTTGTCAAGCCTCTCTGTCTATGTAGTTAGAATTCCTGAACAGTTTTAATTTCTTTCTTTTCTTCTTTCCTTTCCTTTCCTTTCCTTTCCTTTCCTTTCCTTTCCTTTCCTTTCCTTTCCTTTCCTTTCCTTTCCTTTCCTTTCCTTTCCTTTCTTTTTTTTTTTTTTCTTTTATTTTCCTTTCCTTTCCTTTCCCTTCCTTTCCTTTCCTTTCCTTTCCTTTCCTTTCCTTTCCTTTCCTTTCCTTTCCTTTCCTTTCCTTTCCTTTCCTTTCCTTTCCTTTCCTTTCCTTTCCTTTCCTTTCCTTTCCTTTCCTTTCCTTTCCTTTCCTTTCCTTTCCTTTCCTTCTGTCTCTCTTTCTGTCTTTCTTCATGTGTTCATTCATTTTGTGGGATGAGAGAAGATGGGGAGATGGGAATTATATATGTGCCATATTATGTGTCATATTTCCATACTGTAAATAGCTATTATTTCATCTAACCTCTTTCCAAATATGGGGGAGTGATTTCTTATGGGAAGGACAACAGTTCAACCCAACAATTTCAGCTGTAATCTGTAATGCTTTTACGACAAAATTAGCTATCTTGAGGAGAAAAATACTTATGGAGGGGTGAGAAAAGAGTTATTGTGAAGTATTTCTAGAAGACCTATTTTTTTGAGAGTTTGTAAAAAATGTCCTAGATAAATTGCCTGGTTAGTATAATGGGAAATTACCTAAATCATATATTTTAAGTGTGATGACTGCTGAAGTCAGTGACAACAGAAAAATTGCTCATTGATTTGAAAAAGATGCCACGTGTAATCTCAGATTTTACATAAGATACCTGTTCCTGAAACTCTTGAATGAGAGGTGATAATCAAGCATCAATCAATAAGTATGCATTTCCAAATAAAAAATCATGTCTGACAAAAACGATAGATTCTTGTAAGATGAAAATGACAAAATTAATAGATGATTGGAGTGCTGCTAATGTAATGTACAAAAAATTTGCTGACAGTCAGTCTGGACACACTGAAACTATTTATAGTTAAGCACAGTGAAAATCCCAAGCTGTGGCAATCCAGGATAATAAGCAAATTATGATTTAAATTACAATCAATCAGTGTTTACACTGAAGCTGCATCATGAGGAAAATTATTTTATACTTCAGGGATATAACAAATACCTGAATTTAATACCACTTTTGATATGAAAATTTGTCACTTAAGAAGAATCACATTTCTTGAATAGAGATGTTAACAACTGGCTTGAAATCTTGCTCAGGAACCTACACACAGGATGAATATAAATGACACAAAATGAGTTGTAATTCATTGTCCATCATATCAATGTAAGAAAGATCTTGCTTTATCTTTATTAATGACCTGGGAAAAAACAGCAAGTGGCATAAACAGAGGGTTTTGTAACAGTTAGAGAAAAAAAGAAAGTGAGATAACAGATCTATGGAAACCAGAATTATTGGTATTAACATGATATTGGCAAAGAAGATAAGCATATGAATATTTCTGAAGAAAACAAAATAAATGAAGCAATTCCCAAATGGGGAATACATAAACAGGAAGAAATAATATTAGTCACACTAGAGTATAAATAATTATTTTCTTGATGTAATCACGGTTATTACTAACTACTCTACAATAAAGAAAAGATGGTAAACTGTAGACGCATTTATCAGTTCTTCCGGGATTGAATACGGCTCTGATTTTGGCTGCAGAGTTAGACAGTTGGTACCACTGCAGAAGGGCAATGATCCTTCCTAATGCTTGTGGCACTTCACCCTAAGTAGTATGTACAGCTTTGGTTGACTCAGAGCGAAAAAAACGTTACTTTTCTTAGGAGAGTTTTGAAGGAAATTAGCAACAAAGACACTTGCTTATTCATAAAGATAAATTTCTTTTTCTCAAACATGCTGAAGTAAGAAAGCTACTTTAATCTATTGAATTTTTGTGGATAATATCTCATGAGACTGATGCTCAGTAAACTGCTCTAGAGTATATGTAAACTCAGAAATTTTAAGTTTCAGGAGTGCACAATGCTTCTTTTTTGGGAGGGTGG